CTGATAGCCTCAGGGGTTGCTTACGAAGAAAAAGCAAAGGTCGGTTGCAGAAAATTGTCGGGATTCTCCGATTCCGGAAGCGGAGTGCTTACTTTGCAAGTGTAACTGGACAGTACAAGAGCGTAACCACTCGTGCTGTGCTAATAAAATGAGCCTCGAGCGCGCTATCAGTCTCTTCGCTCGCTAATGCCACCACTCGAAAAGAACGCTAGTCTTCCTGAGATGACAGTCCGACGCTTCCCCTGCATCCTATTCTATCGATCGTTTTCTTTTCTCTGAATTCGAACGTTTTGATTCGATTATTTGATGCGTCGCCGATCCAAGGAGCGCTTCTTTTCATGCGCCCCTTTGGCTCCGCCCGATCTACCGGGTCCGCAGAGTGTGGTGTCCATAGGTTTATTTTTCTTCAAAAACTGAATTCCTTGCATGAAACGTTGTACGTTGTCTCAGTTTACAACCGCATTCATTTTGGGAAAGAATGCAAGAATTTTCTGTAGACAATTCCTTTAATTTCTTCTAGTCACTAGCAATTGGGGACGAAAATCAACTAGTTAGACTAGGCTGATCTATCGCTTTGAGGCACATCGCACGAGTGACTCCCACTTACAATTACAAGCATTCAAAAAGGTAAGTGGGCACAGTAAAAAGAAATCCAAGAGCTGGTTGACGTTTGGTTGAATTCCCTTGCCGATTGTTGATGTTTGAATTTCTGGTGCCGATCGTCGACTTTAGATGGGAGAGAAGTGGTGGCCAGAATGGACACAACAAAAATCAAGGGAAATGGCCTAAGCTTACAAAACGAAACCCTCATTTTTCGTAAAGCTAAGCGTGTCTCAGTGACTGCTGACGTCATCAACGTGAACGCTCTGGTTTTCCTTTCTGCTTAAATGGGGCTCGAGTCCAACGGGAAGGGAGTAACGGCTAGGGCAATCCATGGAGGCATGCAGAGGAACGAGAAATTCAGAGGGAGGGGTAATTTTGTTAGGTCGGTACGGGTGTGTCCTTCGACGGTATGGCTCCACGCTTCCTTTCCTCAAGAGCCGAACTCATTTTATAGTGAGCATCATTCTCCTTCTGGAACATTCATTGCCGTACCAATTGCTTTCAAAGGCAGATTCGGACCAAATTCACGCCGAGCTCAAGAAATCTAAGGGATTAAACATGATACGAAGTTAGCAAAGCTCTGAGCTCTCTCTTGTTCTCACAGAAATACAGGGTGGTCCAAAATTATGAGGACCAAGACATTGTGTCGTTAAAAACGCATAGTAGCTTGATGGAACAAACCAACTTCAGGGAAGTATTTAACTCTTACCTCAAAGTAATTCCAGAATAGAATTGAGATCTGCCACCTGCCCCGTTACACGAGCCTTCAGGATGAGGGGGATGGCGCGTGCGGTGGCACGCAACTGAGGCGTGTCCAAATGTTTCCAGGCCTTCTGCTCTGCCTTCTTCAGGGAATCAAAGTTTTGTGGGCATTTATTTGCGCTTGCATCCAGGGTGTAAAATACAGAAATCTAGAGCTATTAGGTGGAAGGTTCCATTGTAACAATTCTTCGAAAGCAACGAACTCGAAAAATCGCTTTTTAGGAATTTTTGCTTTATTCTTGGGTGCTCGGTCCTGTAAGAAGTTCCAAGTAGACTACTCGTGTGGCTTTCTATCCACTACAGATGTGGAGTCTTTAGAGTGTCTGGCTGGGTTTTCACATCAATTTTTTCATTTTGGGTGTACGAAAGTCGACAAGGGGAGACCTAGTTTCTGCATCTGATATTATCCTGGTGGTAACTGTAACTTTCGAGTCCCGAATTTTCCATCTGTGGTGGTTCCAAACTTATTGAAGAGTTGAACTGTTGCTCATAAGGGCTTCCCTGATAGGTTAGACTGCTGCTAGATGTAACGTGCCAGAGCCCCTAGTGAGTTCAATTTGAGGACTGACTCAAAGTGAAGTAGTTATTTCACTAGTTTTGAGAACTTCATGAAATTTGGTTTCATTAGGAAGAAGACATTGTACCCTTTCACATAGTGCACAGAAAACGAGATGAAAATGGAGCGATACGGAAAAAAGTGGATATGACTGCGCGCGCACGCGGTCCTCATAATTTTGGACCACCCTGTATAATGCTGTGTCACAAAAGAAACACCAACTTCTGTCAAGCCGTGCTCTGCCATCGAATTTTCTTGAGAACTTGAGGACTCAACGGACTTTTGTTTCATGCATGTGAAAGGAATCCCAAGATCATTCTTGATTGGAGAAATGTGAAAGGCATTCATTTTGGCAAGGAATCGTGGCGAAAACTGGGCTGATTTTTGCATGAAGGTGCAGCCGAGCCGACTGAAGTAAGGTTCGCTTCTGCTTGATATGTTTTAGCATTTGTCTTGAATTTTTTTTCTATGTTTATCTTTCCCTTGATGGTTTTCTTCGTGAAACACTACTAGAAAAAAGAAAAGACGAAAAGAAAGAAAGATGAATATTCATGCATGCATAATAAGTAAAAAGAACCCTGCTCTAGTCGAGTAGCGAGTTTATTTCGTTCATTCAATGGCTTTGTTTATAACTATTGCTTTAAATGCAATGTATTTGAAATCCTACCCCAACTTTGTCGGCAAGATTAATTAGAGAGCTTGAAGAAAGAGCTTGTTCCAGCTTTGCAGGAAGTGCATCTGGTTCAGGATTGTATGCTGACTTCCGGAACCTTAATATGGGAATAGTAAGGTGAAGATGTAAAAAAATCCAAAATGTCGTTAGAATAGTGCACGACGTGAGAAGAAAAATCAAAGAAAAATTAATGATTTCCGTAACCGTAGGTGTGAAACGATTCTCTGATTTAGAAAGAGGAAAAGCGCAGTCCTAATGATCCGGGCTCACAAGCAGGTGGCTGTTGGACCGACTTCTTACGAGTTTGCTTCTTTGTTCTCATCACAACGTCAGAAACAAACATAGCTGGAAAGAGCTCTGATGTTATCACTATAACACATCAACACTGGCTTACAGATGCTCGTAGACTAGTTTGCGAGCGGGTTGAGGGATTTCCAACAGGAATGAAGGCCATATAGCAAGGGCGAAAATTTCAAACTCTGTAGAGAGAATTGTTTAGCGGATAAGCAAAGCAGTCCCGAGGTCAGCATCTGAAGGTGAATGCAACCGCATCACCTCAAACGACCGGGTTGACCCGTTCCTTTCTGAGAAGGAAGTATCAGGCGAGTCTATACTTTCTGAAGCATTTTACGCTAGCATGAGGATTGTAGGGAAAATTAAGTTGACCGATTTGAGAAGCCAGACAACCCCCTCGCTTTTTGTATTTCATGGCTTAAAATCCCGTTCTACCGGAATATGCCCCAAAGATTCAAAGGCAAGCTTCGGGATAAAATAGATGTTGGGAGAGCGTTCTCTAATGAAGCTGGAGGTGGGAGTGGTCTGAAAAGAGAAAGGAAAGCAAGAAACCCCGATTACGCCCCGAATAAGGACCTCCTCTATTTCAGCCGCATTCCACCTTGGGATAGAGAAGGGGCGTGTTGGACGAGTTTCACGAACCTAGCTCCAGTTGCTCCAGTGCCAATGACATTGAACGCAATGCAACCGCTGCCGCAACTGCGCCCGCGCTTTTCAAGCAGCGTCACGTGGCAACCGACAGCGGAAGGCGGGGCTTGCGGACGAAGGTGTGGATTGCGGGTCGAGCGAGCTTCTTGCGCCTTTGTCGCGCACTTTCAAGCCGCAAAAGGGGCGCGACATCAACGCTTGTCCGCCTGTCTACTACGCTCGGGTATGGAACAGGTGAGCGTGCCTAATCCCGGAGCGTGCCTCTAGATTTCGCGATGTGACATCACCATTTTTCTGCAAGTTCGCCGTCTTTCCCTTGACTGGGTGCCCAATGTGGCTGCCAGTATGATGCCGCAAGCTGCAATGGTCAGCTTCAACGATGCCAGAGTTCTGCAAAAGTTCAACGTAGTCCTAGCCAGGTCCTGTTAAATTTCTGGCGGAAAGATGAGAAGAGAGTTGTGCACTGGTACTTCTGAATTGCAAATTTCACAGTGAAGATAAGTGCAACGTGAGCTTCTCGGCAATTCTTTTCAAGATGGAATGTGAACAGCACAAAGTTAACTCTTTTCCTGGTACTATTCAACCACACAATTCGAATTTTTTTTTTAGGAGAATCGGGAAAACCTCAAGGCGAACAGTATCTTTGGCATTGGTACATAACCTGATGTTACGCGAAACGAATTGTATGCCTCCCTTGCACTACTTCTTCAGAGATAAATCTTAGGCTAATCAACATAATCTCCATGTTGGCATCCCTTCTTTCATCGATCAGAAGATCATCGAATTTTGGGAAAAAATACAGTGACTGTCTTCCGTGCGTAGACAAATTATTTATTTATAGTGAATATGTATTTTCTTTAAATCAATAAATCACAGAACTAATTTTAAAGAATTGAATTCAAACACAGTTTATCAGAAATTATGGACCTACCCAATGAAGAGGCTGCTGCCACTTGGACCATCAAATGTGTGGCGCGGAAATGGGCTGGCAATTGATAAAATGTGCGCGGGTAATTTTCGAAGTTTAGAATCAAAACTTCCAAATCAGAAAAATTCTTAAACGAAGAACTCTTGGCATGGGGTTTGGCATTAGCTCTTCCATCGAAATAAGCCATGCTCCCGGCTCTGTTCGAGATCAGAGAGGAGGCAATGATATTTTACAAATACAAGGCGCTATGGCAGTATTTCTATCATAGAAGACAAACCCAATCCTGATCCGTTGATTCTGGAGGTTCGAAAGATACAATTCGCTTTAGAACGACGTCGAATCGCCGCATAGCTTGTCATGTGCCAGCCGAGGAGCAAACATATACAGGGTGCGGCAAAAGGTCTGGCAAAATCCCGTTTCAGGTCCTCCATAAGAAATGAGGCCTTCGATCTCGACAGGATCTGTGCCACTATTTACTGCAAGTCTTCTTCTATACATTCCATGAATTGGCCGTTCTTAAATATGCCATTTTACAGAATGGTGACAAGCAAAGACCAACGAGCCTCCATCCTGCACCTCCATCTGGCTGGATGCACTGCAAAGACCATCTCCAAGCAGCTCCAGATTCCCTTAAGAACCGTGTACAACAACGTCAACAGGTACAAGGCGACAGGAACTATGGAGGACAAGCCTAGAAGTGGAAGACCGAAGAGTGCAACGACAAAGGAGATCGTGAAAATCATTCGAGAGAAAATCCGCCGCCACCCTCGTAGGTCCGAGAGAAAAATGGCTCTTGAGGTGGGTATTTCTGCTCGATCTGTTGGAAGGATTGTCACCAGCCACCTTCGACTTCGCTCTTATAAGATCAGAAAAGCTCACATGCTAACTGAACTGCTCACATGCTAACTGAGCGTATGAAGAAAACTAGGCTCGAAAGATGTAAGGAGCTTTTAAAGCGATTTTCGCAGGCACGGCACAGCAACATCCTTTTCACTGACGAATGTCTGTTTTCAACAGATCAATTCCTGAACACCCAAAACGATAGGGTGATAGCGGGAAGCCCTGCAGAAGCCAGCCAACATGGAGGGATTGCTCAGCGATCTGGACACCCCAAGTCGTTGATGGTTTTTGGGGCAATCACATCGGACGGCAAGATGCCCCTGATTTTCTTGGAGAAAGGGGTCAAGGTGGATAGCAAGACCTACTTAAAAGACGTGTTGGAGAAGGAGGTACTCCCCTGGGCAAAATCCCATTTCGGCAACCGGACATGGACTTATCAACAGGACTCAGCTCCAGCACACAGGTCCAAGGTGGTACAGGACTGGTGCGCAACGCACTTCCCAGACTTCATCTCGTCGAACGATTGGCCCCCGAACAGTCCAGACCTAATATTCTTATCCACTTGGAACTAGCTCCCGTGGTGGATAGTTCTTAAGACGAAGTCTGCTCTACTCAGCATAGATGTTTGGATGCTCTACGTGCAACCCTCGTTAAAGCATGGGAGGATTTGGACGAGGACTACCTCCGTGCCGCCGTCGACGCGTTTCCTAGGAGACTTTCAGCCTGTATTCGAGCAAAAGGAGGCTATTTCGAGATCTAGTTTGTTTTTGTGATCTATATAGCTGTTGATAAATGCTGTTGAAGTTGTATCATGTATCGATCGATTCGACCGTTTTTTACGGGCATATTTACCGTTGCCAGATCTTTTGCCGCACCCTGTACAATTTACGCGTCATGCTACAACAACACCTGCCATCAATATCATCTATTGCTGATTTGTTGTCAAAATGTTACCTGCCACTCTGTTGCAGGTTTTTGACACAAATCAGCAATAGAATATATTGATGCAGTTAGATTTTTTTTACAAAATGGGCTTTATTCAAGGCAGATGGTTCGATAAGTTATTCGGCCGATGGAAGTGAAAGGTTGGGGCGGTAAATGCCGCAGCAATGAGGAGAAAAATCCACGGAAACGGCCTAAACACCGTTTCTTTCGCTTCATAGGAACAGCGACCACATAGAGTTCCTTTGAGCGTGCTAATCCCAACAGCCGGCAGTATGCCAACAAACAGCAGGCTTTTGTTAATAACACATTACATATTGCGCTGAGGACATCACTCCTCTGATCTAATTTCACAGTGGCTCATTATTTACACCAGACCTTACGTATTACGTTTATTACTTCTTTACAAATCCAAGAGGACCAATCAACCTAGACCTACGACTAAAATGACTTTTTCTTTGACCGTTTCCTGAAATAGGGTTGACTTTAATTTTCTGCACCTCCCCCTGTGGAACAGTTATTCTGCTTAGTGGGTCCGTCAGTTTTGAATGGTTCGCTCAACGTTCCCAGCGCAAACGGACGGTATCCTCAGTACGAGCAGAGGAAGCCGAGTCGATAGCGTCGTAGAAGGATCTTGTCGCTTCAACGGAACTGATGTGAGCCATGAATACGTCCGGTCTGGTGACAGTCTCAGCCCCCCATCACTCCCATTTGGCCGCTTAAATACGCCTCGAAACGGTGATCGGAGAATCGCCGAAACATCATGAATGTGGGGCTCATGTCACATACGAAAAAGATGACCGCTTGGAGTAAAATATTCTTTCGAATGCAAAGACGAGCGATGATAAAAGCAGTACCAGCAATCCAGCACGGGTACCCCCCAGGGAGGCCTGTCGCGCGACAAGAAGGGAAGTCAGCGGACGAGTTGCGCGCGTACTGTAGGGATTTCGCGTCAAGTTAAATAGAATGTTCCATTGGGAGTGATCATTTTGTACTCCTACTGACTAGTATAGGGCGCCATTCGTTGCGGGACCCACTGCCTTAACCCGCGGGGATCCCATGTGATCGCGGTTGAATTCGAACATTCCAGCTTCTCACGCATGTCAAGTGACTGCCCTCACCCCACCCCCCTAGACTGGCTACACTGCCCCTGGCTCACGGAACCCCGCTCCACATTGAAGGGTTCACTGTAGGCAGGAGGCAGTGGGACCCGTAACGAATGGCGCCCTTTACTAGTCAGTAGGAGTACAAAACGATGGCTCCTGTTTGCATTGCACTCCTACATCGCACATCACGCGCTGCGACTCGTCCGCGACTCTGCCTTCTTGCCGCGCGACGAGCCTCCTGGGAGGTACCCATCCTCCACGCCTGCGTTACCGTTCAGCCAGGAGGGCTGGGATCCCCAGGGGAAGGTATCACGGGTAGGGCCTTGCTAAGCCGCTACAAGCGTGCCTTTCGCCGCGGAAGCGCCACTTCTCTTTCCTCGGGAGCACAGCATTCTCCTTTACCCTTTCTCTTCTTAAGCACAAAAATAAACGTAACATCCGCCATCAAAGGGACACGAGTAAATTTGCTGTCAGACAGCTTCAACAATAAAAACATAATGGAAACTCGATTGTGACAACTTGCTTACTTCTCTGTTTTGATTTCCAGATAAAGGAGCTCATCGATCAGACGATCCATGGAGTTCTCAAGAGTGTGAAGGGAAGGAGGCATCTGTAAAGCATATGCAATGATGCTCGTAGAGAGGTAGCTTGAAAGTACTCTAAATAAGTTTGTAAAGACGAAGGGAAGGAAGAGAAGGGGATAGAAAGATCAAAACCATATCGGATAAGGAATACTCCTAATGGACATGGAGAAATTTTACTACAATCCTTAACAGAACTAGTTGAGCTGGGTTAAGGGTCAATCAGCCAGTGTAAAGACCAAGGGGAGGGTTGTATGCAAGAGTCTGCGACCAAGGGTGGAGGTGCGGAGAGGATGTATAACGCTGTAAGGTAGCTAAAAGTGAGTGAAGTAATGACTGCATTCATTTCAGGTTCATTCACCCCATTCTTCGGACCCCTCTACATGTATCATGTGCATGTTAAAGGCAAGCCCTGGATGAAACTGGTGCTAAGATGAAGGTGATTCGTAATGATGATTGAGCTGCGAGACGGCCTGAAAGTGGAAAGGAAAGCCAGCGAAATCTTCAAAATTGCGGATGTGGAACGATGGCGAGGCAGGGCGGTCAAAGAAGACAAAACACGCGAGAGAGATCACGCCGTTCGAGAGAGCACGCCGATATCGAGGTGGGTGGGAAGCGTTGCAACGGGGGTCGATGGTTGCAGGCCCGTAAGGATTAGCGCCTAACGCGCGCAACTTTTGCGGCAAAGCTGGAGTGATCTAGGGTAGGGACCTTACCAATTTCCCCCGCGGTACCTTTCCCACAGGTCAGACTAGGAGTTTGCCTTTAAGTAGAGCCTCGAAGTGAAATTAGATCGCAGCACTATGCTAGAACCTGCAGCAGTACATGGCGCATCTCGGCAGTATTTAATAAGTATTACATTATTCTTCCTTGCTTTATTACTGCATTCTAT